TCCAGTGCTCGTTGCACCTGGAATATAAATAAAAGTCTTTAATACCACGAAAACGTTGCGTAAAAATGGGAATTATTTATATATAAACGTGTCGAAAAAGAAAAATTTACGCTTATCTTCGCCGTTTTTTTAGTTTTTATTACATGGTAAATAAAAATTGATATAAAAAGGCAAAGTGTACGAGGGTTTGTGCCGGTAAATAAGAAAAATAGTGCCTCGAAAAAAAAATGGTTGGCACACACATAGCTAAGTTGAATATGACTTCAGGTACTCTGGGAACCTGACGGTTCGACCTGATCGTGTTTTTTGTTGCGCCGCTGGTTGTTGCAGCTGTGCATTACCAGGCACATCGTCGAGAATTTCGATAATTGAGTCATCCGTCGGTCGGATGTAGCGAGCTGAAACGTCACTTACAATGGGGTTGCCTTCGAAATAAGCTGGTTTCAAACGGTCGATACTGACAGTATCTTCGCGTCCGCCTCGCTCAATTACATAGAATTTCTCATGTCGCTTAATCACTTTGAACGGCCCGTCGTAGGGTGGTTCAAGTGGTCGACGAACAGCGTCGTGGCGAACAAACACGTGTGATGTCTTCTGTAAACTGGGGTGGACGAAAACATCAGTCGTTTGCGGTCTAATCGGAGAAGGCCTAACTGAACGCATTGCGTTTGTAAGCCTAGTCACATAAGATGCCCTATCGGAAACATGTTTGAAAGTTGAAGGGGAAACAAACTCACCTGGTAGGCGAAGAGTGGTCCCATAGACGAGTTCTGCAGGAGTGCATCCAGCATCAACTTTCAACGCGTTACGAATACCTAGTAGGACTAGAGGCAGAGCCTCGGTCCACTGAGGTATGTTTGTAGCTGAAAGGGAAGCTTTCAGCTGTCGATGGAAACGCTCTACCATGCCATTTGCTTGTGGATGGTAGGCTGTCGTTCGGAACCGAGTGCAACCTAAAAGTGCCGTTAGAGCGTGAAATAGTCCGCACTCAAATTGGCGCCCACGGTCGGTTGTGACGTAGGATGGACATCCGAAGTTCGCGATCCATCTTTCGACGAAAACACGAGCAACTGTTTCGGCAGTAATATCTTTAATGGGTACTGCTTCCGGCCATCGTGTGAAACGATCAACACAGGTGAAAAGGTAGGTACATCCATTAGATTCTGGTAGGGGTCCTACAATATCTATATGGACGTGGTCGAAACGCATGTCTGGGGCTAGAAATGAGCCTAAAGGGCTTTTCGTGTGTCGCGTGACTTTACACTTTTGACAAGCTAAGCACGACTGGGCCCACTCCTTAACGTCTTTGTTCATCCCAGGCCAGCAGAAACGTTGTGCGATAAGCCTAATGGTGGCTCGTACACCTGGATGAGAGAGTTTGTGCAACGTATTGAAGACGTTGCGTCGACAACTCTTCGGAACTATTGGGCGTGGTTGACTAGCAGAGACATCGCACAAAATTGCATCCTTGTCTGATCCAACAGGACAAAGTCGCAGTTTGAGAGTTGTGGACGACAACTCATGATGCAGCTCAAGGTCTTCCTTTTGACGCCGAGCTAGTTCAACGAGATCAATACCCTCGATATAGTTTATCGAAGCTATTCGAGATAGTGCGTCGGCTGCGGAGTTGTTTGCTCCAGAAATGTGGCGGATGTCTGACGTGAACTGGGAAATGTAATCCAGCTGTCGCGACTCACGAGGGGAGTATTTGTCAGACGCCGAGCTGAGGGAAAAGGTTAACGGTTTGTGGTCTGTGAAAATAATGAAATCACGACCTTCCACAGAATGTCGAAAATGGCGTACAGAACAGTACATGGCTAGGAGTTCCCTACCAAATGTACTGTATCTTGTTTCCGCGTCTTGCAGCCGCCTCGAGAAAAAGGCTAACGGTTGCCACTGGTTGTCAGTCAACTGTTGCAAAACTGCTCCAATTGCTGAATCAGATGCATCAACAGCAATACTCAGAGGAGCATTGGGGTCATGATGCATAAGCATGGTTGCGTTCGAAATGGCTTCCTTGACTTTGGAGAAAGCAAGTCTAGCCGCGTTGTCCAGAGACACGAACTTCGCAGTTCCTCGAAGTAGATCTGTGAGTGGTCTCATGACAGAGGCACAGTTAGGGATAAACCTTCGGTAATAACTTACCAGGCCATTGAAAGTGCGGAGATGTTTCACAGTGGTCGGCTCTGGATAGTTTGTGATAGCCGCCACTTTATCTCTCAATGGGCGTATACCTTTGTTGTCAATGGTATGCCCAAGGAAGCTGAGTGATTCAACTCCTATTTCACACTTCTGTAAGTTAACTGTGATGCCATGTTTTTTGAGTCTTTCGAATGCGAGGTCCAAATGTTTAAGGTGTGTTTCCTTATCTGGACTCGCAATTAGACAGTCATCTATGTAGACATGAACAAAATTCAGACCACGGAAGACGTCGTCCATAAAGCGTTGGAATGTTTGTGCTGCATTCCGAAGACCAAAAGGCATGCGCAGGAATTCAAACAGGCCAAAAGGAGTAATAATGGCTGTTTTCGCGATATCTTCTGCTGCCATAGGTATCTGGTTGTACGCTTTGACTAAGTCGATTTTCGAGAAAATGTTCATGCCGCATAAGGTTGCGGTCAAGTCGTAAACGTGGGGTATAGGGTAGCAGTCCGGAGTTGTTTTGGCGTTAAGCCTTCGGTAATCACCGGTCGGACGCCAGTCGTTGCTATCCTTTTTGGGCACCATGTGCAATGGCGATGCCCAAGGACTGTTCGACGGTCTGATAATGCCCAGTTCGAGCATATGGTCGAATTCATTTTTCGCCGTTTGCAGCTTATCGGGGGCTAAACGGCGAGCTTTGGATGCCACAGGTGGACCTGTGGTTGTGACGTGATGCATAACATTGCTGGTTATGCACGGAAGAGTGTGTTTCGGTTGTTGTAACTCTGGATATTTCTCCAGAACTGCCTGGTAGGACGCGTCGCCTGATTGTTTAGTCCTAACGATGGCTAAACTCGGACCTACATAGGTGGTGCCGCCAATAGATAACTTTGTGTTGTTATCTATCAGTCGTCGACGGCGAGCATCTACGAGTAGATCGTAATGGTTCAGCAAATCTATGCCAATGATGGGCATAGAGACGTCTGCCAGGAGGAAATCCAGTGAATAGGTTTGCGTAAACCTAAGTTGAGGTAGGCATACCGTCTCCCGAATGTCGCGATTGCCTTGCCGTTGGCTGCTTGAAGATTGAAGGATGGGTCGAGATGACGCTCCTTTGTCGTTGCTGGAAGAACGCTAACTTCTGCGCCGGTGTCGACGAGGTAGCGGACTTTCGTTTTAATGTCGGTGACGTAGAGCAAACGGCTTTTTCCGCCGGCTACGGTTGCCGTGAGCACGTGCCGGCGTGACCGTTTCCCGAGTTTGGGTCCTTCTTAAAACGGCATGGTTTACGACATTTTCTGGCTTCATCCCCGTAAGTGTTATGAAACCAGCACCATTCAGGGTTTTCCACCCTGTTGGGTTTCGTTTTAGGGCTACCACGCGACTTGCTGCGATGCGCCAAGGTGCGTTTCTGTGAAGTGCTACGTGATCTAGGACTTCGAGATCGTAGCAACCGTTTCACAGAGTTGCACAACTTGGTCACCTCCGAATCCTGGCGCTCTGTTTTGTCACAGATAGAATATACGTTGGAGACGGGTCTGCTGGATATCTCCAGTATTTTATCTGCTGAAGCTGCCAGGTCGTCGAGTGGGACTGACTGGAGTGTCACCAACACGGTTTGCACCGGTTGTGGTAGTTTCGAGAGAAATAGTTCTCGGAAGAAACCATCGTCAAATGTTCGTGCACCGATTACTTCTCGCATGCGTGCGAGGACTTCAGTAGCTGAGTGGCTGCCTAGCTCGATGTTACGAAGCAATTCGTCTAGACGTTGGCGATCTGTGAGATCGCTTTTCTTCAAGAGTGCGGCCTTTAGAAGTGCATAAGGGTCACTTACTTCAGGATTAAACATGTTTGCTGTAACATACCTGTTTAATTCTCGCGGTAGTGAACGTATGACAGCAAGAAATCGAGATGAGGATCTGAGACACCCTGTTCTCGAAAATCGGCCTCGGCATACAGAAACCATGTTTCTGCATTGTCTGGCCAATATGGCACGAGTTGGATCGTGTTCGAGGTCGGCTTAATACGAATAAGCTTGGGAGTGTGGTCGGACATGAGAAAGTGTAGTAAATGGATATATAAATGTTATCGAAATGAAAACAATAAACAAATATAAAATGGAACAGGCTCACCAATTCAATACTTGTTATTGGTCGGGATATGTGATCACGTCGGGCTCACCAATTTAGGATTTGTCCTGGTGCGAACTTGACAGACGCAAAGACCAATCACTAATTATTCGAACTTGTTATATACCCACGAATACGAGACCAAGGAAGAACACGATAGCGTAGTCGGATGGAATAGTATATTTGGATGGTTATGCCAAAATACCGATGCGTTCCAACTAACTGGCTAGAGAGTCGAATACGAGCAATGCAACGTAACACGACAGCGTGCCAAATGGCGAGGATGCTTGACCGGATGCCTTCAGCTTAGCGAGTCCAGTTAAACTATCAAGGTCAGCATCAATGTCGAAGTCGTCAAACCCTAGGCTATTGATTTTGGGGAAGTGTATGACGCTACAGCGTTAGCGAAAAAAAATCATTCACAGTTACCGTAATGTCATAAAGTATGTAAACAAAACCTTCTGTTCTTCAGTGCAGATAAAATTTTAGGAATTTTATACGTTCTTTTGTAACTTATTCATCCTATTTTAACTGGCTGCAACGGAGCACAAGAAAACCTCAGTCATTTGTCTTGTTAAAAAAAATAACAAAAGCCTCGTGTAGTTTCCCATCAGTCATGGAAAAGAGACTGCAAAGTTCAAGTTATGCTGGTTATTAGACTAACTATGCTTTTAATAACCTGAGATAGCGGAAATACTAAGGCTATCTGAACATGGAACACTTCTTACTGTTCCGAGGCGGCTAGTTCAAAGTATGCCCTTCAAGGTCGGAGAGATGATAGGATTATCGGAAGAAATATTCCCTGGCTTATATGGATATCTGTTGATACTTATCCTAATAGTTTTTGCAGCTTTACTCCTGTATCTACTTTCGAACACAAATGTTCTACAGCCCTGGCTGAATTCTTGTGAATTATCCTCCGATGAAACAATCATGGATTTTTCAAAGTCTCCCACAGTGAGAATTTTACAGTACTGTTTTTCGGATATCTTTGTGGAGTTTTCAGGATTTATCCATTAAGTTTTCATGCATTTTGAATCAACGGACGTTTGTGTTGTGAGCTTGCCATCCTTTTTTAAGCATATTCTTTAAGCAGAATAAATATGTATTCATTTGGGATATTTATGTATCTGACATTCATTTATCTAAGATTTCAAGTTCTATAATCATCAGACATCTAACTTAAGCTCAAGAACAGCAAACTTGTAGAAACCAGGCAGCCTTCAGACCTGGCTGTGGGTGTGTCGACCATGCAGACATCCACCCTCCTACTGTTTCTTGACCATAAAGACACTTTCTCGTGCTCGGTACTCGTTGCTTTTCTTGACCTGGTTGGGGGGCTTGACTCCATCGACCAAGAAGTCTTGTGGCAGTGTCTCTTAGTGAAAGGAAGGCCAATTAAGTATATTACCCTGTTAAAGGCTATTTACTCAGACATCCATCGGCGTGTTTGACCCTATAGTGAGTTATCGAGTTAGTTGTGAACTCTAAGTAGTGTCCGTCAAGCATATCCACTCGCTTCATTCTTATTCAAATTTATCGTAGATGAACTTATGCAGGTTTCACTCTCGTCTCCTTACTTTACACAGGTTAATCTTAACATAGGAGAATCTCTGGTAGACATACAATGCGTAGATGACATTGTCATGCTAGGTGAAGACGCTGACAAGATGCACAGTCTTCTGGACACCTTGAGTGGTAATTTGACAATATTTTACATGTGTTTCTCACCACCCAAGTCCAAGCTTTCGTTCCAGCACCGGTATTCGTTGGTGCCTTGTTTAACAAGGTGTACAAGGTGGAATGGTTGAGTGCATAGAACACTTCACCCACCTGGAAAGTAGGATCATCCCTCATGGGTCAGTGGTCGACAAAATTCCTATACGGATACAGAAGGCTCGGTTGGCTCTTGCCAACTCGCCATATGTGGCGCCGCCTTGATATCCGATTATCTATTAAGGGTCGAGTACACTGTGCTGCAGTCCGTTCTGTTCTACTCTATGGCTGTGAAACATGTCCATTAAAGATAGAAGACATGAGAAGGCTTCGGGCGTTTGACCACCGTTGCCTTCGCAGCATAGGTTGTGTCGCGGCGTCACCATGTAAGTAATGGGGAAGTCAGGTGTACAGTTTTAGAGATGCAGTTGTGAACCTTTGTCGACTAAGATGGCTGGGACGTGTTGCGTATGCCTAGCCACCGTAAGCCTCGTTGCACAATGTTGAGCAAAGTACGTCCAGGCTGGAAAACGTCTCAGGTTGGCCAGACCATAACATGGCAGGACTGCGTGACATCGTCGGCTGTTTGTTTGAGCCATATAGGATGATGCAGACTAGCCAGTTGGGGTCTACGGGACAACAGTAACCAGTGGTTAGAGACTTGATGATATTGCTCATAACCGATATAATAGGCACATGTATGCAGACATTATCCTTATTTTAGCTCTTATACTTAATCTCATTTTATCACTCCTCCTTCCTCTCATGTACTACTTTCTACTTCTTTCAACCTATGTTTCTTTCTTTCTTTGTCTTCCATTTCATTGCTTTGTTACTTGATGTACTAATATGGGTGTGGCAACTTGGACTATTATGCCTGGTCCTATGCTGATTTCGGTTGATTGGTTTGAGTATCTTATAAGTCATGTGCAGCATTTTGAGAAGAGAAGAGTCAACTCATGAGGCAGCAAACTCCCATCATTGATCTCGATGGGTGAGATGTATTCACCCACTATCGTCATCTTAATCGTTATACTGAATCGAGTATTTTATTAATCTCCCTTCCTCTCTTGCAGCATCTACCGCTTGACAGGTTCTTCATTTCCTGATCTTTCAACTTGGTGCATTCTCGCCTAATGCTCTGTATGAGATTTGGTCATTCGGACCATTACTCAGAATTTCTAGGTCCTATGTTGATTTCCTTCATCTCTGTCTGATATCCGTCTGAAGGATTCAACTGAATGGTTTATGCTTAAGGACGGATATGTACTGCACCACAGTCCGTTCTGTCCTGTTATACGGCTGCGACATGACCGTTAAAAGTATATGACATGAGGTGGCTACAGATTTTTGATCACACGTGTCTTCCTAGCAGTAGTTGCGTTTGATGGAAATGCCGTGTTAGAAATTTTGACATCAGGCGAAGAATACTAGGCGCCACAAGCAAGTTGATCGATGAGAGACATACAAAGTGCCAGCCACCGCCTACCTTGACGTGCATTACTAGGGGAAGGTGGATTGGATTGGAAGTGGGTTTAGGGTGGGATCAGTCGATGAAGCCGGTAGCTGTTGGTCTGAGCCTTGTGAGGCACTGTAGACTGATTGGTTGACTGTGGTCTGCGAAACGATAAGAATCGGTAGTTGAGGAGTGACTGTTGTTGACATGGCTGGAAATCAGTCACAATGGGGCAGATGTGTTCACTCCTTAGGATCTTCTAAAGCTTGAATATTTGCACTAACCATTGTTTTTTAAATTGTTTATTGTCTCACACAACTTTGTCTCTTTTGATATCACTGTTTTTCTATCCACCTGTTCTTTGTGTACTGCTGTGGATTGTGGTAATTGATCTGATGAGTTTGTGTGCGAGATTCTGCATTGTTTCTGTCAATCAGTCAATGTATTCGAGGACTGTGTAACATTGGCATTCAACCTTACTGTTGGTACTGCTTCTAAAAGTGCCCAGAGCCTGGGTTTTAATAGGTGACTGGATCTGCAATAATGTTCGTTGTGTGTTGTTAGACTAGAAAGTTTGGTTATCGTTAAAAAATGCAACATCTGCTTATCACTGCCTATGTTTCGGCAGACTACAGATGCAGCTAGGGTTGAGTTCTCTCATCAAGTGAAATAGACGTTTTGTAGTGCTAGCTTGAGACTTGAATACATAAGTTAGGCACGTAGGCCCATTTGAGGGTCGTTTAGTTATTGGGGATTATCGGGTCACCGGGTAGATAATTGTGGCGATTTTTCTCAGCTTTGTGCAGTTCACAATATATTTCTATCGATCACTAACTTTGGGTACAATCATTGTTATTGTACTGTCCGGCTTTTCTGCTTTCTCATTCAAACCTGAACTAGCATGGATCATTTTACAACCAGCTATCGATGGTTTTGGTGTATTCATGAATTTAATCTCTTTTGAAGCATCTATTTAAATTCTGATAGCACTTCAGTGTGTGCTAAGGTCATCTCTCGTTTAGGCGTTCTTCATTTTTGACAGGTTGATGTAAATAAATTAATTATACCTATTTTATTAACTATCAAGTCGAAGTAGACTCAAGGTTAGCTGTCGAACCTTCAAGAAGTATAAATGAGTGAAGGCTGCATCTACAAAACCGTATGAAAAGGGCGAGTAAAGTTGTCCATAGTTTTGAACGACGTCGTGATTATGAGCACAAAGTCTCTACGAGCTCTTTTAAACCTCTAAATATTCACTGGTCCGCAGGTACAGCGGCATGTTTACGTTCCTTATATGAAAGACCACACAGGATTGGTGTAAAGGGCACTAGGTTTTGTGGTGAGGATTTATGGGTGGGATGAAAGCAGCTGCTGCACCCAGCGGTAACGTAAACTGTTTCTACTCTTCCGAAACACCTGCATCAAAATGCTCTATACCAATGAAGTGATCTGTGAAGTAGATTGTAAACCGGCCAGCAGTCTTTAAAGGAGGCTAGAACGCTGTGCAGAGCACTTCAACAGGTAATTTATCTAACTTACTGCTCCAACAACTTCAGCATAAGTATTTTGTGCCCGGCCGTTGGTTAACATTGACTCAGTTAATAAATTAGACGTCCAGATGACTCCAAATACCGAAACTCCATGAGACACTAGGCATTTTAAGCGTAGGAGTGGGTCTGGTTTTAGGGAACTAACTAATTCATCCGGGAAGGGGTAGTAGGTTGAGTGTTCCACTATTCCTGAATGAGGTTATTGTTGAACTCATCTACAAAAGGCACTTACTTAGCGTATGTAACAGTCATGTGGTTATCAGTCTGCCACCAGTTGCATAGGAAATATTGTCTAAATCAGTACCTATTAGGCTTCGCGGAACGTGAAGAGCACACCGGGTTCTGTTCACGTCGTGGATGTATCGAACATGTGTTCATCTTGCATGAGATAAAACGCAATCACATTTATTGCAGGTCACTAATCGTTGTGTTTCATGGTATTAGATCTATTTTGAAATTTTCTGATACGTAGGAACATGTATCAGAAGTTTACGAATATTTAGTGAGTTCTATCCAAAATACCTCTATTAGAATGGAGATATGCAACCACAATGTGTGGGTATGATAGGGTTGCCCACTCTTTTTCACTCCTCTTCAACTTTGTTATTTATGACATTCTCGTGACAACTCTGAAGGAGATGTCTTGTGGTGGTGTAAATCTGCTACTAAGAGAAAACTTTCAACCTCAAGTATGTGGAACTTATCATCTTACTGTGCAACGGTATATAGGTTACCCAGATTGCATTTAATGGGTTAACAATCATTAGTATGATATGTTCTTTGCACTGACATAATGCGAAGTAATTTTACAAGATTGACAGAAGCCTACGCCTTCAGTCATCTTTGTACGTAAAATGCTTAAAGTATTCGGAAAGTTTGTGTATCTTGTTATTAGTACGAGTGCTGGTCGAGATAAATGTGTATTAGGTGTTAGTGTATCTGAAGCCAAGTTGACACGCCAATCTAGGTCATCTTTACTTCTGTTTTGAAGTTAACCCGGTTGTAAAAGGTCAGGTGTGTTGATGCAGGTAGTTCTGCTCTTCATTTGGGGAACTTGGCTTCTTCGGACTGGTCTCCGATGACTCTAAGTTTCCAACCGCCATTATCTCTTAGGAAATGTATCTAGTGAAAATTTCATGGGATTGGTTCTGAGGTATAATGTCATGTGTTTAAAAATAATGAAGGTCATTACCCTTTCGGCAAATTATCAGTGTCGTGGAGGTGTTACGAATGTTGTCCATTGTTTGTCTTATACTCTTAGCTGTTTGTCAGGCCTGGGGCTAATTTTAAGAAATGCGGGTGTCACTGTATGACGTGGCACTGTAGAACTATGG